CTCACAGACCCTACCTCAAAATAAAAAGCAGGGGAAGGGTCAGGGATGGAGGTGGAACAATAGTTTCCCCTGCACCACAGAACAATAGGTAATGCCTAGCGTCATGTACTCTTTTACAACAACAGAAAATGGATTAAGACACCCTAAAAATGGATAATGAAGGTATTATAAACATTAAGTTCAAAGTAATGGCTCCCTCTATGGGATGGGAAAGGAGATGCAGTCAGGGCGGGACACAGGAGGCTGGCCCACTGTGTGGCTTTCCTGAGCTTGGAGAGATGTAGTAACTTCTGATCCTTTCATGTTTCTAAAAGATGCCATAAATATTAACTATAAGAAAACACTGAGTTGCTGATAAGCCCCAAGAAGGAGCTCAAAGGTTATGATGAAGAAACCTGTTTATGGTCTTAAGTCTTCCATTCTAAAAATGTCCCTAGTTCAACCCTGGGGACTTTGTAGTTCTCTATTCTAAGGAGAAACACTACATTGCTGAGAGCCATTATGCCTTCATAGCACACATATCATTGCGGTAGTTATTGCTAATGTTAAACCTCTTTCAAATTTACTTTAAAAAGAAAAGACGAACAAAGCAAAGCCAGAACGGACAAAGCAGGAAAACCACATTCTTTCGGTTTTCTTTCCACAGTGCTCCTGGTTTCGGGGCCAGGCAAAAGTTCAGGCTTTAGGCAGGAACCCATCTTCTCTAGGTCAGAGGGTACCAGGGAAAACTGCTTAGTGCTTTCAACAACACAGGGACCAGGAGCTTTTATTATTGAGTTATTACTGAGCTGTCCCTGACGGCTCCAGCGTCTAAAGTTATCTCCCATGGGCAGTTTTGCTTCAAGCTTGTCTCTAAGCTTTGCTACTATAAAGGTGATAAATTCAATGAGAGAGAAGCAAACAGAATCAACTGAGCCTTTTTCACTCAAGCAACCATTTTATCCATGATTTGATGCCTGTTCTGTCTCTGTTGATGTTTTCTACAGCGCATTTCCTACAGTGTAGTTTAAGGGTTGTTTGTAAAAATAGTGCTCTATATAGATTTCCTTTTCATTTTTGTTCCTGGCTTTTTACTTGCAGGTGGCATAGCTGTGTGCTCTTAGCTACTCAGAAGGCCGAGCCAAGAAGAACCAAAGTTCAAGGCCTACCTGGACAACTTAGTGAAACCCTGCATTAACATAAAAAAAGTAAAAACAGGCTGGTGGTGTAAGCCTTTAATTCCAGAGGCAGGTGGACCTCTGTGAGTTCAAGGCCAGCCTGGTCTACAGGAGCTAGTTCCAGGACAGGCACCAAAGCTACAGAAAAACCTTGTCTTGAAAAAAACCACAAAAAAAAAAAAAAAAAAAAAGTAAAAACAGGGCTTAGAGGTACGAAGACCTCAGAGTAAGTCTGACCATTAACCCACCTATCCAGCTTCTTCTATTGCTTGACCGCTGCCCTATATTCTCAGTCACGGGGAAACAGTTGGTTAAAAATTAAGCTCTCTGTTGTGTTAAGACACCCACAGACTTGTGTAAGCAAGTTTCCACAAACCCTGTTAAGTTTGTACAAACACCTAGTTATCACAAATTGTACTACTAATTATAAAACGCTATCACAAGTTATAAATTCCCAGAATGTACCCAAACTGTCACCCAGAATTTAACCTCAAATTGTAAAGATTCTTTTTCTTGTATCACCCCGACCCTGCCCCCAACTTGCAGCTTTTGCTTCACAAAGGACCAACTCCCCCTGCTCAGGGTCACAACACGGATCCCCCTGCTCGTGGCCCTAACTAGTTAGACATTCTGGTACCCGCGGGGATGGAATAAAGCTGCTTCTGCTCTCTAGCTTTGGCGGTCTCCTCTTTAACATCTGCGCGATTCCCAGGCCCAGCAGGTATCATAGCTGCCTAGCAAGCACAAGGCCCTGGGTTCAATCCCCATACCAGAAAAGCAGAAGATATGGACTCCGTTTCCATTTTCTTTGATTGTCAGCCACTTTGAGTTTTGAGTCCTTCTACAATATGTCACAAATTTCCTAGTTAGCATCGATCGTCAACCTGAAACAGCCTGAAGTCAACTGAGCAATGGGTCTGCATAAAGGAGCTGCCAGTCTGCAAGCACATCTGCGGGCGACGAATCAAGATAGATATGAATCAAGGCAGGAGGGCCCAGCTCATAGGGCAGGTGGCTATATGAAAAAGCTCATTAAGCACCAGGCAGGGAGTAGTAGAGTGAGCCAGCGAGTAGGTTTCTCCATGGTTCCTGCCTTGAGTTCCGACCCGACAACCTTCTCTCAGAGATGGACTATGACTCCTTCTCCTCCCTGAATGTGCTTTGTGTCAGGTGTTTGTCACGATAACAAAATGAAGTTAGACTAACAAATAACCCTAATCCCTTCTTTATTTGGTAACCAAGCAGCACTTTTTGGTAAGGCATGGCCTATTTGTCACAGGCTCAGCTAAGGTTGTGTTTAAAATGAGCACAAAGATTCCTACTGTTTGTATGAACCGACAGAGATAAAATCACAATCTGGGGCCATGGAATTACTGCCTATAGAAGCTGCCTTCTTCTGAAAGTTAATCTTCCTGGGCATAATATTGCGGTTCTTTTTAATCACTTATTTTTGGGTCAGGAACAGTCTAGCCCAGGCTGGCCTTCAGCTTGAATCCTCCCGCCTTAGCCTCCTGAGTACAGGTATTGTAGGCATGCCTCACCTCATCCCACCTACAGGTCTCACTGCTTCTCCCGGGCACCTAGATAGTATCTTCACCCACTTGGAGGAAAGTTGTCAAGTCACTTCTCATAATCTCAAATCTCGATCATTAAAATAATCACTATTTAGACTCTGACAATTGGCTCTGCCCTTTGGAAAGTTTGTTACCAACACTGCCTTTTCTTCTTTTCTTTTTCTTCTTCTTCTTCTTCTTCTTCTTCTTCTTCTTCTTCTTCTTTTTACTATTATTATTACTATTATTTTATTTCATGTGTACGGGTGGTTTGCCTGCATGCATGTCATGTTCTATGTGTGTGCTTGGTGCCCTCAGAGGCCAGAAGAGGCCATCTGTTTCCTTGGAACTGGAGTTATAGAGGGTTGTGAGACACCATGTGGGTGCTGAAAATCAAACTCAGGCCACGTGGAGGGTCACCACTGCTCTTAACCACCGAGCCATCTCTCCAACCCCCTAGCCTTCTGCTTTTAAGAAAGTTAAAATTTAGAGCTGGTGATACAGCTCAGTGGTAGAGTGGTAGAGTGCTTGCCTGATACGCACAAGGTTCTAAGTTCAATTCCTAGTACATTTTTAAAAGATTTATTCTTCCAGCGGGGCAGTGGTGCCTTTAATCCCAGCACTTGGGAAGCAGAGACAGGTGGATCTCTGAGTTCGAGGCCAGCCTGGTCTACAAAGCAAGTTCCAGGAGAATCAAAGCTATGGAAAAAACCTGTCTCGAAAAAATAAAAACAAAACAAAAAGATTATTTTTCCTTTGAGCAACAAGTAAATTTAAAAACAACGCCAAGGAGCTGGAGAGATGACTCAGTGATTAGGATCACTGGCTGCTCTTTCACAGGACCTGGGTTCAATTCCCAGCACTCACATGGCAGCTCACAACTGTCTGTGACCTCAGTTCCCGGGGACCTGACACCTTCACACCAATGCACATAAAATAAAGTTAAATAAATTATTTTTAAAATGCCAGATTTCTTCCTTTCTTTTATTTCTTCCTTCCTCTTTCTTCGTTTTTGTTTGTCATTTCAGACAGGGATCTCTCTACATAGCCCTGATGTCCTGGAACACACTAGGTAGAGTAGCGAGGCTCTCATTCACAGAAATCCACCTGTCTCTGCTTCCCAAGTGCTAGGCTTTAAAGGCACACACCACCATGTCTGACTCAACCACGGCAAATTTCAACAAAATCTCAAGCATACTGCCAACAAAAACAACATGGGGTATGATTAACATGTGCAATGCCTGCAGAGTGCTTTGTGTAAATTCCAGATCCCGGGGTTATTATGGTGCAGTGGGACACAACAGGAGTGACTCTTGGCCTTCCAGACAGTGTTCACATCGCTTCTGCTGAATCACTACAGGCAACGAGGGAAGCGTGAAATGCTGTACTGTGGACTGCAGCTGAAGACAAGAACCAGCTCAATGTTTTTTTTCTTGGCTAAATGGCAAAATATGGTCAGTTGGAGACTGATTCTTTTATTAAAAAAATACTTAATCTGAATTAAAGTGATTTGTTCTAATCAGAGTTAAGTGTGCACTTCATACAGAGTTCTGGTAGTGATTGTTTTGAGAAAGGAATCCATTTGCTGTATAGACAGCAGGCTTCGCCTTGAATCCGTAAGTCGAGAGCAACCAACATTATTAATTTAGTGATACTCAACTGGAACAAAAATAAATAAATAAAAACCAGGCAGAGGGCAGGGGCAGCTGCGGTGTGAAGAATGTTCTGGACAAGTTTATCTCTCGACAAACCAGTTGGGTGTCATCTATGAGAAAAAGTAGACCTCTGAGCACAGACTTAAGTAACGTGCACAATCTGTGACGTGCAAAACCACAAAGTTATGAAATAAGAGGGTACCGAAGCATGACAGCACGACCCCACAGATCATTTTCCTCAACTAGCCACTCTCTCCAAGCTAGCCGCGTCCCAGCA